TTTGTAAAAACATTTTTTATTTTCTCTTATGGCTTTTAGAATTAGCCTGTGTTGGCAAAGAGTCAAAACTGTCATAGCAGAAGATGCCATGATAGCTAAGAGGATTAGATGGAACCAGGCTCATTACTGAGATGCATGGCAGGAGAACAAAAGAAAACGGTCATAAATTGTAACACGAGGTTCTGACTGGATATAAGAAAAATATTCACTGCAAGGATAATTAAGCATTGGAATGGGGAAAAAAGAGAGCTTTTTGAAGCTCCTTGGAGATTTTCAAGGACCCTACTGGACACAGCACTAAGCAACCTAATTTGAATTCAGTATTTGCCCTTGTTAGAAGAGGAGGTTTGCTTAGAGACCTCCAGAGGTCCCTTCCATGACTGATTAATTATATATGTGAGTTAAGTCAGTAATCTTGGGTCAACTACTATCATACTAGTTCTCATGATTTCTCAGGGAATCTCATGAATCCTTTTCTTCTTAAAGCAGCACTGGCAGGAAAATACTAATAAAAATCTCTGCATTCTTTTCTTTATTCCTTATTAATGCAGAATAAAATGAGAGATGAAATTTCTGTGCCTAACTGGCACATAATTAAGAAAACAAAGAATCCTGGAATTATTTAATGGCATTTTCCCCTCAAACCTTATGTTTTGTGCCTAGATTTGATCAAAACTTAGTCCATAGAGTTTGAGCTTTTCAAATTATAATATTTGCCTCATTAATAGTAAGTATTTTTGTAGAATATGTGTTGGTTTTCTACTGCTAGATTATACTTCTGTTATACCAAGATTCCAGCTTTAGGCTTAAAAATTAAGTGTTCCAGCAATTTTTTTACTGGAAGTTTGCGTATTAGCCATTAATATATAGCAAGGACTGGAGAGTAATGGAAGAAAGAAGAAAAATTATGAAAGCAAGATTTGGCAGTTTGCCAGAAAAAAAAAGTTCTCTGGCAGCATCCTCAATCTTTTCAGCTTCTGAAGGTTGTGCCTCCTGATTCAATTTTGATAGCACTTTTCCAATTGAAGCCTGAAGAATTCCAGGCAAAGAAATGCCTTCTTCATTGCTACTCCAATCTGCCTACTGCCATACAGATGAAAAAAAAATATAGGTTTTTGGCAAGTATGAGCAAGACCTTTATATTTGTCTATTATCAGCATAAATATGTAATTTACACAGAACACCAAATTTCCAGCTTTGGGCTTTAATTTGTGGGAGTGAAAACAATAATCACAATACAAGAAACCACAGATTTATATTCCGGACTCCTGATTCACAATCAAGTTACCTTTTCACTTTCTGTATCTAAGGCAGATGTAGCTTCATCCAGTAGCAGAATTTGGGGCTGACGTACAAGAGCTCGGGCAATAGCAATACGTTGTTTCTGACCGCCAGAAAGCTGAGTTCCCTTGTCTCCTACGCGTGTATTGTATTTCTAGAAACAATATATTAAGTTCAGACTATGAAGCAAATCAATTCTGAAGTATATTTACCTGCATATCGACCCTGGCACCAGCCATTCATAAACTGCATAGTCCATGCCAATAGCTCTCTGAAAACAGATGACCAGAATTGCTACCTGCCACAGATCTATAGATCTTTCACTAGAAGACTTGTTTGTAGCATCAAGCATTTCATAAATTCAAACCAACAACCCTTCTAAGGTTGGAAGGCAGTATTATTCTCAATGAGGAGATAGAACACCAAAGCTCAGTGGAAGTCTATGACAATACTAGGGATCAAACCCTGAGCTTAAACACTCCAAGCTAGCATCCTAACCAATCAGTTATTCTAACCCACATTTATTCATCCTCAAGAAAAAAATAGCAATGCATAAGATATATCAGCTTCAGGCCAAACTGTATACTATACCTTTATATAGACATAGAAATTGATACACTTTATCTATATCTATACTACAGTTTTGGACAGTTATGCTTTTAGTTTAGTTATGTCAGTTAAGGCCTCCACACAAACTCATGTGTAGGTCACAGTAGTCTTAGAGGTATTATATACTCGGCTGCAAATGCCCCAGATTCTTGTTAGACGTCATTATATAACACAAGATATCTCTACAAAGTTTTGGAAAGAGCAGATCTTGATAAGTCATTAGAAATTAAACCTGATCTGCAAAAATCACAGGCTTTGGCATTTGTATTTTTTCAAGAAATGCAAAAAACATCTTAACAGCCTGAAGTTAAGCTGAATATATACAACATACAACTAAGCTGGCAACCTCCTTGCTTCAGGAAGTCTTGGAGACAAGCTGACATAGGTTAGAAATTGATTTGTCAAACCCATAGAAGAAAAATTCATCCAGAACTAAATAATAAAACATGATTTCTATCTTAGGAAGTTCCCAAGTCACAAATTATGCGAGTTAGATGAGAATGCAGGGGAAATGTGTTTAAATGTTTAGCCTTTTTGAATACTTATTTGTAAATATGTCTTGCTGGTTAGTGCCTGGGACAAGATTTTGTGCATGGCAGACCTTTCATCTGACCCAAGATGCTCATTCTTACATTATTACGTTTTGGTCAGATATATAGTTATGAAAAACTTTCTTAGTAAATTTTGAAATGTAGGAATACTAGAAATTTAAATTCTGACTAGGTATAACTGGAAGAAATGCATAAAAAACTTGTCAGTCTAGCAGAGCCTTTTACACATGCTTGAGATAAATAGGAGCTTAAAAAGAAATGTTGAACTCAATAAAACCCCACCCCACACTTCCAGCTCTCAATTAGTTATAATTGTGGATTTTCTTCCCTGATATCTTCAATGTTCAGCTCTCCACCTGACAATGGAGTCTCTCAGAGTAAAAATAAGTGCAGTGAACACAACTAAGAAAGGATAAGATTTAAAAATCAGTTTCAGATCTATTTGCATCTCAGGGAATTATTGTACCCCAGGGAATCATAAATGGACACAATTTTTCCCGGCCACAGTAGGTCACTTCCAGTTCTGAGTAGGAGAGAAAAGGAATAACTTACATCTGGCAGCGAGTCAATGAAGGAATGAATATTGGCCTCTTTTGCTGCATTAACAATTTCTTCATTTGACACCTGCCGACTGTTATCTCCATATGCGATGTTTTCAGCAATAGTGCAGTCAAACAAGATTGGTTCTTGTGAGACGATACCAATCTGAGCTCTCAGCCACTGGATATTTAGTGTCTTTGCATTTTTGCCATCAAAAAGCTGAGAAAGCAAACGTTTTAAATTTTAGTCACATGGCTATATGCGTATTTGTGACTTACAGTAAATTCATACACGGAAGTTGTGCAATTGCAACTCTTTCCTTAGAGATATCATATTGAAAGCTCACATCATCCCTTTCCCTCCTTCTCCTCTATGTTCCAGAATATTCTAAGGGCTATTACATAAAAGTGAGGATAGTCCCTTCTGCTGCCTCAGTCCTTTTCTTTGCTTCAAGGTTTAATCAGGATTTTGAAGACAGTGGTAGATAGGATATGCTGAGGTAACTTCAAAGAACCTTGGGTAAAGTTATTTCATTTCTTTCTTTGGTGGGAAAACTTTCCTCTATTTTGCATATATATTCCCACTGAAGGAACAGATTGGCAGTAGTATTCCACTAAAATAAAGGAAGAGTTGGATTCATTCATTCACACACTTGTAAGCCAAGCATCCAATCTTAAATTTAATTGTGATGTAAAGCTTGACAATGGACAATTTTACTTCTGGATTCCTTAAGACATCATTTGCAGCCAGTTTTCATTATTGGCAACTCTGTCACACTTCTGCTAATTTGGCTACTGAGTTGCTATCATTATCAATTAGATAAATGACAACAAAAAATATTTTTCTAGATAGATCAGTTTCATAATTTATACAAGTCATATCAACTTGGACACAAATATACGAGGACATTAAGAGGGCTGTTACATCTCCACTAGAATCACCCAGTGCAGTGCTCAGTCTCTGTGCTCAGTGACATGATCAGCCGGATAATCGAAGAACTGCCCCCTTCATAGCATGGCTACTGGATGCGATTACTCCATTAATTCCACAGTTTGTGCTAGAACAGCCAATTCACAGCTAATATAATTGTTTTTCAAAGGAAAGAGATCATAACGAACCTGATTCAAAATCCACTGAAATCAGTGGCAGCATTTCTACATCTGCATATGTAAAGGGGAAAAAAATAAAAAAAGCTAGAAAGGAGAAATTGCTTTCAACTACATAAGTATTTGCCTTCTCTTTTCCTCAGAATTCCAATGGATTTGCAGGCTGCTAAGGTCTGCTTCCTATTCCTTATTTGATGTGAAAAATCACTGATGAAGCTAGACAACTCAGTTGTAATGACTTTTGGATCCGCCATACCAAATAGCACAACTTTTATGCATAGTTACTCTCTTTACCAGACTAGCATAGTGCTCACTGTTGTGAACAGCTGTTCTTCTGAGTTAGTGCTTTAAGTACACACTCCTTTCGCTCAGTACACAGTTCAACTCAGCTTGTGAATTAGTCCACCATTTTTGTGGTTTCTATGCCAGAGGTCTGTGCTTATCCCTTCAGTAAACCACTGTTGGTTATTTATGGATACAAGGTCAAAAACACTAGTGATGAAGTTGCACTTCATTAAATATACTTTTTGGGCACCTATGCTGCTTCTTTCTACACATCAGTTTGATATGCTGGACTTGTATGGGCATTTCCACCCTCAAAAAAATCTTGCCCATTGCATCTAGGCCTTATTTAAGTATTGCTTTATCTTTTGTGAGGATGCCTGCAGAGACAAGTTCTGAAATCCTTCTTATTCTCACCTCATCCAACTCAAAATGTGTGGGTTTAAACCAAATTTCTGAGCACAATGATGTTAAAAAGAAAATGGCAATAAACAATACCGTTATGTAAAAAAAAAAACAACACATAAAGTTGCTGAATAAGTAGTGTGGGAAACTCTAGATGTGTTTTAAACCAAAATTACTGCAAGTATTTACAAGCCATCGCTTGGTATGTGGGCATACTTTGAAAGATGTTTCTGGTGGATAAAAATGATGATAAAAATTGGTTTTGTCAATGTTCATTGTTTTAGGAAAGAACATAGATGGCAAAATCTATTATAACGTTATACAGAAGAAGATACATATATTCAAGAACTTTTAAAATGTTCTTAACGTAAAAACCTCAGGAAATTTGCTCTGAATTCAAAGCCATCATTAGGCTGTGGATCAGGCATAGTTTTACCACAGAGATCTTGTTTCATTAATTCATTATAATATGGGAAACCAGGACTTTTTCATTATATTATTCATTGCATTTAAATAAGGAACCCTGATGAGCCACTGCTGGTATTTAACATTAAAAATATCTAAAAAATAAAACTAGAAATATCTATTATACTTCATCTTATCACACAAAACTAAATAAGCACATCCTCACTTAACATGTTAACAAGTTCTTACAAAAATACCTACCATTTCTCCATCGAGTGGATCATAAAATCTCTCAAGCAGCTGAACAACAGTGCTCTTTCCACAGCCACTGCTACCAACAAGAGCCAGAGTTTGTCCCTTTTCTACTTTTAGATTCAAACCTTGGAGGATTTTGACCTCTGGTCGGTTTGGGTAGTTAAATGCCACATCTTTGATTGTTATGCTTCCCCCAAATGTTTCCTATAATTGAAACAGTATCACTGTTACATCTTTAAGAAAACTTGACAGATTATTCAAATAGAATTGCATAAGTCGTTTTTCATCCCCCACTGAAATCAACAGAGTTTTGTATTTGCTGGGATGCTGACTTTAACTCTGTGGTCTGAATCTTTGAGAAGCTACAAAATCAAAGTATAGCACTTAATTATTTTGAAAATGCTCGTAATTCTGTTGGTTGAATTCCACACAAGTTGTACCTTAACAAGATTTTCAAAACGAATAACCTTTAGACAGTGTGGGCAAAAGCTGGACTCACAATAGAGGACTTAGTCCATGCTGTGTTTGGATAAAGTGTCAAGAACACATTGAGATAAGGAAGTAATCAGAAGGAAAGGAAAAATCAGTTTGAAGGAAGTGAGAAGAGTACTGTCCATATTGTCAGTAAATAATATTGCCCATTACAATGGCTTACTTACAGGCCTCTCTCCTTCCTCACTGTAACTATCTATTAAGGGTAGTCTTTCAAACAGCAGAAACAAGTGGGCTGCTGATATCTTGGCTTTGGCATAGTCTGGAGCGAAAGAACTGCTTTGTCCTAATGCCATTGCACCAAATACAACAGCTGAAAACACTCTATAAAAGAAATCCGGAGGAAAAGAAAAAAATCAATAAATATTTAATTTGCTATCACAGCTCTGCTGCAAAAAATCTGAAAGGTTCACAACACCATAAAAAGGTTGAAAACTACACTATTATTGTTTCATGGTGAATGTAGATATATCTTTACAGGTTACATTAGAATGGTTTAAGAACCTGCTGTCCTCAGCTATTAATTACTGTCACACAACATAGGATTACTTATCACTGAGAAATGGTAATTGACATGAGACCTCTTAGTCTGTTTCAAGGTAAAGTAAAATAAATTCATTTATATTAATTTCTACCTTTTCTTTTCAGAGCTATATAAACTAATCTATTTTATTCTGCATTTGAACAGCCCAGAAGGGCTCACACAGTTTTAGGTCAGACAATATCTTCCAAATCTAACTGAGCCACTAGAAGTTCACTCACTCCACTGGCTAGAGATGTTCAGCTAGCAGATGGGATGCAGACACTTTCCAACATCCTCCAGTTAAAATGAGCTGTGTTAACTTTTAATCAGGTTGCCAACAAAAAATTGGTATGATTGGCCTTTCTTAAGTATTGAGGTCACTGATATGCATACTGGTAGAATCTCATTCCTTTCATACTTGTTTCCATAGGCCTGTATTGAGCTATTGCCTCTTAAATTATAAATCATATTTCTTCTGAGTTTATATATGATTTAGAAGAATGGGACTTTGGTTATGACAGGGGCTTTTACATATTATGGCAAATGATTGAATAAACAGTGATTATAAATCCAAAATATAAAAGTAAGAAGCTAAGGATAAGCTAATAGTTCAAAATTATTCCTTTAATTTTTGTACAGTTTCTTCCCTTAAAAGCTGATAAAATGCCCTTAGAGACAAATAATTGTACTATTCCTTGTATAATTTCAGATCACAATAGATACACCTTCTAAGAATATTGCAAATTAGATTCATATTTTATTTGCAGTACCTGTCTAAAGTAAAAATTAAATGCTCCACCTGACTGGGTAGGTACAGTACTCTACATACTGTTCTTATATTTATTGTTCATACTTTCATTTCCCACACAAAATTGGTTCATTTAAGTGAACAAGCTTCTTATCTGAATGTCATCTAAAATAATTTAGTTATCCTTCCCTTATAGTGAACAGCATCTACCTTATGGAATCTTGTTCTCCAGTTATTTAGCATGTATTTTAGAGAAGATTTCAAATTTCAATGAATAAACTTGATACAGAAATAACAAAGATGCTGATGACCTATTCTTAAAAAGAGTTTTACAATATTATTACTTTTCAATAAACAGGTACAACTATGTTTTTTGTAAAATATACAGAGGACCTCACAGCTACCTGAACAATAAGATCAGTGAGAATAAACAAAGTGACGTAAGTAGGATACTGTTTCAGCCTCTGGAAAACATAATAGTCCCATATAGATACAGAAAAGGAAATCCAAAATCAGGCCTATCTGAACAGCTCAGACTCTGTAGTTACCTAGAGTATCCACTTTGTAATATGCTTTCATTATATTTAAGTACAGATGAAGAATTAACCTGCTATCTCATCGCTTACCCAATGCATTCATGCTATCTCTAGTAGTAAACAAAGACCGTTGTCTGGATGAACAGAAAAAAGATTGTGAAAGAGATACTTACAGAAACACATTTTTATACTCCATGTGTCCATTTACCACTAGATAGGCACCAAATCGGAAACAGCCAGCATAGGTAAAGAACATCATTGCTTGTGAAAGGGCAAAACAAAATCCAAATATATGTGCCTTCTTCACAGAATTTCTGTAAGAAAGAATGTATATTTTCAGAAAAATACACGATCATACTTAAGTCCTAGTAAGCAAAAAACAGTTGATTGACTTCAGTTGATACTGTTATGAATGGGAAGTGCACTGATGCTTAAGCAACACAGTCCTTTGTCTCCTATTACACTGTGGCCAAGAGAAAGTTTTATTTCCAGAATTTTGTTTACTTCCAAGAACAGCTTGGAATATGGGTGCAGAAAAAGATGACAGCTTAGCTGCTATGTATAATTACTGTCTTACCATCTCATAGTTTGAGTGTTAAAACACTTTACAGTTCAGTCCATAGTTACCACTTTGAAGATGTAAATAACCATTTGAAATCGTACTACTGCATCACATAAGAGGAAAAAAAAAAAAAGATAGTTCACTTTCAGCCAAAGCGAAACTTTTGGGTCATTTCTTCTTTACTTGCAATTTTATGTTAACCAAATAACAAATATGTTAAACAAATGAACAAATATATGAAATTAAGTAAGATTAAGCCTGCAAGTATGATGCAGAAACTAGATTTTGGATAATAAAACTATGACTATTACTAAAAGCAAGGTAGAGAGAAAATTTTCTGCAACTATGAATGGCACCAGAAAAAAGAAAGAAAATATTTTAATTTTATTGATTCTATTACTAAGTCACAACTGTATGGTTCCTTTTGGAAAAACCCCAAACCAAAACAAACAGGCACCAGATTCACAAGTGCGGGTTTTTTTGATTAAGAGGTTGTTGTGACTTATCTTTTACATACCTGATTTGTGCATTAATCCAGTATAACAGAAGGTCTAAGCTCAATTTTTATAAAATAGAAACTCTTTGCCTAATCAGTGGTTTAGCATGCACTAAAACATTAACTGAAAAACACGTATCCTATCTCTTTCAGACAAATTGACCCATAGGGCAGTAAGTTCTTATTTCATAGAATTGTTATGGTTGGAAGAGACCTCAAAGATCATCAAGTCCAACCTTATACTAGAACAACATTAAGATGAAAGTCTTGGAAAATCCCATGAATGGCAACCCTGAGAATGGTTAGGTACTGTCCTGCAAGTTGTGAGATATGGACTCAAAACCCAGCAGCCTGAGAAAAAAGCTAAGTAGTATCTTTTATGTCCTGCACTGTGCTCTAAGTATTAGCAGCACCCCTACTTGTCTCCCACCATATCTGTGTACATATGCTGTCATTTCCTTTACTTTTCTCATGGATGTCTGAAAATGGAACATTTCATTCTAGAACAAATAAAACTTTAATTGACAGTATCATTTTAGTTTTTCACTTTAAGACTTCTTGATTTTGATTTAGTCCAGGCAGATTTATACTCTTTTTTTTTGTTTCAGTCACAAACCAGTAAGCAAGTATTCAAATGTTTTCAATCCTATTCATACTTTCAAAAATTGCTTAATGCAAAATTCAATTTACATTTAAAAGCTTTTAATTAAATATCTGAAACACTTCAGGTGGGAGGTTAGATTAGATGACTTCCAAAGCTCACTTAAGACTAGTATTTTTCCAAACCAAGTGACATTGCAATAGAAGATACCAATATTATAACAGAAAATTAATTAAATCAAAGAACAAAAATGTTGGCTGGCAGTTGCATTTGTTAATAAAAAATATGCAAAACTTTTACACTAATTCTGAGGTAATTAAATTATACATTAAATCATACCCACTAACAAATAAAAATCAATGTTTGTCCAAGTAAATGTTTGTAATTTATTCTATAATTTAAATACAGATTTCTTTTTTAGCTTTGTTATTTTTCTTATACCTGTATGGTACATGCAAGTGTTCTCTGTACATCAACTCAAATTTTCTTTCTTGGGTCAAACTAACGACAGTTCTAATATTTTCTATGGCTTCTGTGGCAATCTGCAATAGAAACACAAATGTTTTAATCAAAAGTTAAGATTATGTTGCAATTCCTTATTATAAACTAATAAAAAGATTCTGCTGGAATACAGTTTTATATTTTTTATAATCGTTATTAAAATCATGGACCTTCTTTGATATCAAAAGTAAGCATTTTACATTTTTCTTTTTATGACAGTGAGATCTTCTGATGAAGCTCAGAATTTTCTGATAAGACCTCTTTAATGTCCTCCAAATAAGTAGTGACAAAACCATTAGACAGCAGTGACAATTATGGAGAAGATATTCAATAAGAAAAATGCCAATTTAGCATTCAACGTCCAGTGTACTGACTTTGGGCTATAATCAGAATGTCCAAGTAACTTATGTGCCTAGAGTCTAACTTAGATGTCAACAGTAATTATTTGATCTGACCAATAATTAACCTTCTTTAAGCTTCCACATTCTTTAGACTTGAGTCATTTGCATACACAAAAGTTGCTAGTAACATTTGAAGGTAGTAGATGTATGCCCACATGGGAGCAACTCATTCAAAGTTTTCATGTATTCTGTTAAATATATGTAGGTGTTTATAAAGTCCTCCTCAATGACCACACAGTGAGGCTAGGAGCCTGTATGGTCAATTCAGTCCATATGCATGTGGAAGAGGATGATGCTTGGAAACGGCCAACAGAAGTCACCTGGAAAAATCACATCTCTTTAGACACTGGAACCAGTGCTGCATCCCTCTGTTCACCTCTGGTTGAAACTGGGCCTGAATGCATGACCTACACATTGCCTCTGCTGCAATATGTGTTATATTGGGCATTCCAGCTGACCTCAATTGCTGTTGCTCTGGAAGGGCACGGATTTCCACATGTACTGTATTATACCTGACAATATCATAGGTGTGGATGTTTTCAATTTCCTAATGCATCTCAAATAGTATTAAACACCTATATCTAGGCTCTATTCAGTTGCCAACCAGCTCTGTTTCTAAGGATGGGTATCTAGCAGGAGAGCTCACTTATGAGCATAGATACTGTAAAAATGCACAGTAGTAAGTCTGTTTATAACTCAGAGAACTGTATGTACAAGAAAATATACATTAACAGGAAATTAATATAGACAATGCCAACTGTAATGTTGCTAGACTTTTGTAGACCTTGTCTGTGAAAGAACTTCAAGGCTTTAAGATATTTTGCCAAAATACACATTTCATGCCTTATGCCTTTAGTCTAAGAAAGACCTTAAAGTAAGGTCAAAGGAAAATATAAGCAAAGGAAAGTATATCCAGACAAAAGACTCAAGAATGAGTGAATTTTTCATCTATTAAGATGAAACTGGCCAGTTAACCAGAACTGGCCATGTGGTACAAGATCACAGTGCTGTAGGTAACTGAATGTATAAATCTGAAGCTAACCATTGGATGGTGTCTGCCCAGAAAAAGGTGAAAAATCAGGTACATCTGCTTGCATATTTATATTCATGCAAATTTAGATTATGAAAGAAGGGCTTTACATAGTGATAGTGTTTTTTCAGCACTGAATTTCTATTTATGCTTGGGTTTTCCCCACAGGTGTGGTGAGTGCCCTGATTCTTTGCATCTAAACATTTGAAGCTGGGGAGAGGTTTTTTTTCCCAAGAGACTGGCAATGTTTTTTAACATACTAAAACTTATAGAAGTTCAATCTTAACAATATTTTGTATTTTAATTTTAGAAAGCCTAGAATAGATATGCATTTATTTTACATAATATTGTTACCACATTTGGTGTATTACATGGCTCATGTTTTCCGTAAAGCTCTTTGAGAACCAGTGCTTTGGAACACTGTGCTTCACTGGACCTAGCTCCTTCAACTCCCTCTGTTTCCAGCTCATGCCTAGAATTCAGCAAAGTCCCTGTTCTGCACAAAGCTTTCTGAACTGAGCACTCACACAAAAAACAGGAAAGCAGCTTCAGGGAGAAGCACGAGCACTTTTAATAAGTTACTGTACTACAACAGGCCTGTCAGTCTCACTTCAGTGCCTGGTAAAATCATGTAGAAGGTTATTCTGGAAGTTATTGAAAAACACTTGAGATACAATGCAGTCATTGGTCATAGCCAGCACAGGTTCACAAGCGGAAAGTCCTGTTGAACTTAATTTATGACAAGGTCACCCATCTAGTTGACCAAGGAAGCCAGTATATGTGGGGTTTTTTACTTTAGCAAAGCTTTTGATACTGTCTCTCACACTATCCTTCTTTACAAAACGTCCAGCATACAGCTAGAAAACTCCATAATATGTTGGGTGAACAATTGGCTGATGCATTGAACTTAAAGAGTTATGGTAAGTGGAGTTACATCAGGCTGGTGGCCAGTCACCAGTGGGGTTCCATAGGGCTCAATTTTACGGCCAGTGTTCTTTAATGTTTTTATAAATGATCTGGATGCAGGAGTTGAATGTACACTAAGTAAGTTTGGTGATGATACTAAATTAGGAGGAGCTGTGGACTCCCTCAAGAGTAGAGAGGCCTCACAGAGAGATCTGGGCAATTACCAACTGTATGAAATTTAACAAGAGCAAGTGCCAGATTCTGCACCTGCGACAGGGTAATCCTGGTTACACATACAAATTAGGTGATGAGAGGCTGGAGAGCAGCTCTACGGAAAGAGATCTGGAGGTTTGGGTTGATGGCAAGTTGAATATGAGTCAACAGTGTGCTCTGGCAGCCAAAAGGGCCAATCGTGTCCTGGGGTGCATCAAGCACAGCATAGCTAGCCAGTCGAGGGAGCGGATTGTCCCACTATACAATGGCCTCACCTTGAGTACTGTGTGCAGTTTTGGAAACCTCATTATAAGGACATCAAACTATTAGAGTGTGTCCAGAGAAGGGTGACCAAGATGGGGAAAGGTCTTGAGAGTAGGACTTATGAGGAGCAGCCGAGGTCACTTGGTTTCTTCAGCCTGGAGAAGAGAAGGCTGAGGGATGACCTCATCGCAGGCTACAACTTCCTTAAGGGAGGCAGCAAAGGGGGAGGTGATCAGTGATAGGACATGAGGCAATGGAATGAAGCTGCATCAGGGGGAATTCAGACTGGACATTAGCAAAGGGTTCTTCACTGAGAGGGTGGCTGGTCACTGGAACAGGCTCCTCAGGGAAGTGGTCATGGCACCAAGCCTGTCAGAGTTCAAGGAGCACCTGGATGACGAGCTTAGTCATATAGTTTAGTTTTAGGTAGTCCTAGGAGAAGCAGGGGGTTGGACTCGATGATTCTTATGGGTCCCTTCCAATGCAAGATACTCTATGATTCTGATTCTGAAAAATGATCCTGTATATTATGTCTTACAGGACACCAGAGTTATGGCAATTCACCATACAGTTCAAATGCCTACAGTTTAAAACAGAAAAACAAAAAACCTCCACACCCCAACACTTTTATCTAAGTTATCTAAATCACAGACCTGAAAGCATTTTTCTTCATGAACTGTTACCAAAGATTTTGAAACTGTGGTACTGTTATCTTTGTTCTAAAATATAGGGATATAATTATCTCATAGCCTCACTAATGCTTGTGCTACTGTTTGAAAATTTGTATGTAACTAACTCATTGATTTGAATGTAATACACAATGTTAACGATAACAAAGAAATTAAATAGATTTTAGTCTTCTTAGTTACATTGCCTCACCAATACTCCGAGGAGTAGTCATCTTTTTTCATTAGAACAGTAGAAAGTTCTAATGAAAAGAAAAAAGTTCAGTAGAAAGCAAATTTTCCAAGTACAACCTCATTTTCACTGAAGAAAACTGATTTTAAAAATATTGGTAATTGAATAAAATGCCTGTAGTCTAGTGCTTGCTTAGATGGCCTTGAAAGGGGAAACTCATACATTGCTAAGAAAAGAAAGCATTTTCTCAAGCTTTGCAAAAAAATCATAAATTTTTCTAACAGCTGAGTTAATTCTTCACAATCTGCTGCATTAAGAAAGTCTCTAGTGCCTATTCCAAGAATTGTCAACTTTTTTCCATCATATCTTACAACAAAACAATATGAAAGAAATGTTCAGCCTTTAGAAAGAGGAAGCAGAGGAAATGTAGTCAGTTGAAAGGAAAGGAAATGCGTCCTTTGGCTTGTATGAAAATGCCCGTGGAAAGATCACTATGCACAATTTCCTGCAGACTTGGAGGGACAAAGATGTTTTTCATCAACTTTATCTACAGACATGGTGGAAGGAAATAAACCCCATTTAGTAAATAGGAGTTAGGGGTTAGATCCAGACTAAGACACCAGAATTTAGGTGTCTAAGCTACCAGTGTAGTCAATGGATACCTATTCAATAGAACTAGAAAGCAATTCAGCTGTCTACGCACTATGTGCCTACCTAGCCTCTTTTGCCCAGATCATTGACTGGAGTGGAAAGGACTCTTAATTCAGTTGCCCACATGCAGGTGGCTTGTGCCATTGGAGATGCTCTAGGATATTCAAAACATTTGGGTAAGGCACAGGAGATCTGACATAGAACACAGAGTAGACCTATACCCTTCTGAAATTGCAGCTGGAGGCCACACAGACACTATGGCATCTCCAATAACTATAAGGGGACTTTAGACTGCTAGCGCATATGCAGACACATACATTTAAACACCAAATCTGGAGATTAATACCATTCCTTATGTAAATGACCTTAGATAAATTATTTTCTTTTCAACAGCTTTTAAAAACAGTAGGACATAGAAGGGATTTTAGAAAAGTTTTACCTTGAAAGCAATATCTGGGAAGTGATGAAATAGTTGTTCTGTTCCAAAAGGATTTCAATCTTTGGTGAGGTAAGGAGAGGGGGCAGTAAAACAGCTACCCTAGACTTCCGGAGGGCAGACTTTGGCCTGTTCAGGATGCTGGTTGAGAGAGTCCCCTGGGAAGAAGCTTTGAAGGGGAAAGAGGTCCAGGAAGGCTGGACACTCTTCAAGGAGGCAGTCTTAAAGGCACAGGAGCACGCTGTCCCGATGTGCCGCAATATGAGCAGACAGGGATGAAG